GCCTTAATTAGTACAGATGTTCTAGTGAGAGATGCCTGACAGGAATACATCTAACACCATCCCAAAGGGTATTCTCATCCTTGAGGACATCCATAAGTTCACCAGTCACCAACTCAAGCCATCAACCAGACAATTCAAGGCCAGGCTGGATGTGGCTCTGGGCAGCCTGGTCTGCTGGTTGGTGACCCTGCACACAGCAGGGGGTTTGAAACTAGATGATCATTGTGGTCCTTTGCAACCCAGGCCATTCTATGATTCTGTGATATGATTCTATGAATCCACACTGCTGTGTGCCCATCCCCAGACACTGACCCACCCTCAAAGCCCACAACCTCTTCCTGCTCTCCCTATGGCCACAGTAACCTTCTGTACCCTCTTGGCAGAAAAAAAACCAGCACTGTCCAATGCTGCATGTAATGAGCTCATAGAAAGATGCTTGGAAGGTTCCTGAGTGGGCACCTTGAGTTTATTTTGCTGACATTCCAGTGGCTGAATGGCTGCTGAGTCAAAGGGAAGGTCTGCTTTCACCCCAAGGATCCTTCTGTTCCAGATGTCACAAGGTTTGCTCACCAAGCTGTGCTCGTTCTGCCACAAAGACTTCTGATCCTTTCCAGTAACTTGTGTTCTCTGCTACAACAGCTGCATTATAAATCCCCAGCACCTCCCCAGGCATCCCTCGTAGTGTCTGCATCCTGCTCTTACTGCTTCTACTGCAAGGATGCTATTCATTATCAATAGAGAAGCATTCAACTGGTGCCTTATATTTCCTGAAAATCAACTTGCTCCACTTGTAGCAGAACAGCACAGTGGGAGAGAGAGCAGGAGTGTATGAACAGGAGGGAGAATGACTGTTTGTGAGGGTGGAGAGTGATAGGACAAAGGAAATGGCTTTAAAGTGAGACAGGGGAGGTTTAGGTTGGATATGAGGAGGAAGTCTTTCAGCCAGAGGGTGGTGAGGCACTGGAACAGGTTGCCCAAGGAGGCTGTGGATGCCCCATCCCTGCAGGCATTCAAGGCCAGGCTGGATGTGGCTCTGGGCAGCCTGGGCTGCTGGTTGGCGACCTGCACAGAGCAGGGGGTTGGAACTGGATGAGCATTGTGCTCCTTTGCAACCCAGCCCATTCTAGGATTCCTGTTCAAGAAAGAAAAGCGCTGCACATCTCACCCCTTTCTGATACACCAGCACAGGTACTTTAGCCATAAATGCCTATCATCCACTATAAAGCTCCAAGCCTCTTACATGGCAGTGAAGACTAATTACTGGAATCCTACACCTGAAGCAACAGTTGCATTAATCACCAAAGACTTCTGTTTAAGGGCAGTTCTAAAGAGCAGGGATTTACTTTCTATTTTATCAAAAAGACCATCGCCTTTCCAGTCCTCACATAACAAAGGTAAACCAGTTATTGCTGCACAGCACTGGGCTACGTGATAAGACAAAAAATAATCAGTCACACTGCAAATTAGTAAGAACAAAGGGGGGTGGAGGAGGTTAATTCTTAGAATGTTAATTCACTGAAAAATTTCAGAAAAGGCCACTGCATCACGGTGACTGCAGCAGAGCATCCCTTTCAATAACAGCCTTAGAGCCAGCTTCTGCCTTTTGCAATGGAAAAGGGAAGAAGGAAAGGAGAAGAATCAAGCAGCTATTTTGAGACTGTAGCTTATATACATATACGTATATACACATACACACAGATGCAGGTTGCTAGTGAAGTATCACACATCTTCATCACTTCCTAGAGATCTGGTATCCACATCTTCTGTGTCTTCTTGCAAGAAGAGTTCTCCTCAGCTGGTGTGACATTACAGGTGGGGAGGAGCCACCAGAGGCCATTAACAGAGCTGCTGCCCCATCTCTGCTCTCTCCTGCATCGCTCTGCTCCCCTTGCACCAAGGCTGCTCACCCTTTGGCACTCACCTCATGGTATTTTAAGTCTCTCCTCCTGGTCACTGCCATTGCTCTTCACATAGGATGCACTCCCACTTCAGTCACAGGCACAAAGAGGAACACCCTCATGAACAGCCATTCCCACTCCTGTTTATCCGCTCCCTTCAAGCACTGGAAGGCCACAATGAGGTCTCCCTGCAGCCTTCTCTTCTGTAAGCTAAACAAGCCCAGTTCCCTCTACCTTTTCTCATAGGAGAGCTGCTCCAGCCCTCTGATTATCCTAGCGGGCCTCCTCTGAACCTGAACATCAAGCAGAGCTAGACCAGAACAAAGCAGGGCAAGGAAGGAACCCCGTGTGCTCTCAGGCTGTGACAGTGACTCCGACAGAAGTGCTAAACAAATAGTAATCAAAAGTACAGTACAGATGTAATTAGGTCCCCCCAACAAAACACGCGACACAACAACTCCATTTTACTCATTTAACATGTCAGAGGAAAGCTGTTTTTTAATCAGGTAGCAACAGAAGCACACATTCACTGAGCTCTGCTCCCACCTAACACAGGAGTATTCTTTGCCTCTGACTTCAGCTACCTTGTTAATCATGGAGAACAGCTAATAATAATGCACTACTGCAATTTAAATGCCATTACGAGGAATACTATTAATGGGAAATGAGAGCCTTTCCATAACTCTCAATTCTGAATGTTATTATAAGCCTTCAAGCATATATTAAATAACACAGTAGTGAAAAGCTGAGTGCGTATTTACAACATGCAGAAAGGCACAGAGCTGTGCAGCAGGGCTGACCTGGCAGCTGCTCCTCCCATGGATCCTACAGAATCATAGAATGGAGTCCCAGAATGGCCTGGGTTGAAGAGGAGCACAATGCTCATCTAGTTTCAACCCCCTGCTATGTGCAGGGTCATCAACCACCAGATGAGTCTGCACAGAGCCACATCCAGCACAGCCTAGAAAAGCCACTACAGAACCCACAGCAGGCAGACAGAGTCAAAAAAAGCTTGGAGAGCTCAGGAACAGCAGCAGATAAAGCATGGTGAAACTGAAAACTCAGAAAAATAATGCACAGGGTGATTTCCCAAGGAGGCTATGGATGCCCCATCCCTGCAGACATTCAAGGCCAGGCTGGATGTGGCTCTGGGCAGCCTGGGCTGCTGGTTGGCGACCTGCACAGAGCAGGGGGTTGGAACTGGGTGAGCATTGTGCTCCTTTGCAACCCAGACCTTTCTGTGATTCTATGATTTACATTGCTGTCACTGAGCATGTATGCTCAGGCTGCTCACCATGTAACAGGGATACAGCACCAACAGCAAGCATTCAGTTTTGGAACACTGGGGGAGACTTATCTCTACTGTCAGCCCCAAAAGCTGGTACCCATACCATGGTTCTGAAATCACGCTGCAGGAGTGAAGAGAAGAATTCCCTGTCCCTGTTAAAGTGGGCAGACACAGGATTTGCCATTTCTGCTGAGGAACCATTTCTCCCACCAGAAGGCTCTACGTGAAATTCTGTCACCGTCTCAACAACAGAACTCCTTTGACAGCCCCGGGCAGAAACATCCAACATTGTTCTTGTGCTGTACGCCTATCAGCAAGCCAAGGAAGCGATCCCACAAGACCCCATTCATAGCAGCAGCCATTCCATGAATCTCAAGTGATGCAGCTGTATTGCTGGAAGTGCTGCCGGGACTGTGCTCTTTGGTTTTTAAATGCAAGCATCTGAAAGCCTCAGTTGTTTCGACCCAGCCTTTCCAAATCTGAGAACCTAATTATTTTTCCAACTTATCTAGACTTCCCTTTAGCGAATACAAAAAAAGCTCTGCATATAGACCACATTTCTGCTGTGGAATGGACAAATGTGTTAAGAATTGATGCTACATTCTCCACAGTGTCATTACAAGAACCACCAGAGAATGCGTGCTTTTAATCACAGTTTCATTAAGCACATATTGATTCTGTCATTGAAAAATTGCTGTATTTAATCCAATTAAGCACAACTGCCAATATGATCAATGCATGCTAATGTAAAGTCACAGGCAACGAAAGGAGTGGAGCAGGGCTAACTGCAGACCCTCCCAACAGCCCTATGAGTGTTGAGATGAGGTTCAATAAACCAAACAGAATGAAGACTGAGTGCTATGAGACCACGTGCAGGTGCAGCAGAACGCTCACAGTGCACTTACAAAGCATACAGAAACCCTCTGCCACACCTGGCAGTGCAGCCTGGCCCACAGAAAACAACTGTGCTCTGTGCACTCATCGTGGTGCAGTGCTGGGCACCAAGGGGATGTGTAATGCAGGAGGGTTTGGGAGCATCCTTGTGGCACCTCACCTCCATCACTGCCCCAGCAGCACCAGCACAGGGCACATCTCCAGGCACACCGCCCAGCATACAGCAAAGACAGGTTTTCTCATCACATTTTATTCTACTTTTAATCTACTTCAAAATAAATTAAAGCATTTTTAATCAGCAGTACTTGGAGTTAAGCCCTCACTGTACTTTAAGCAGGGAGCCGCCCCTCCTTAGCTGCTTTCTCATTTCAGAATGAGGGTGAACAATCAATCCTCCCTCAGAAACAAACGAGGATTCATTCCACACCCCATCCCAAGCATTAGGTCAGATCTGGTCGTTTTTACTGCAGCTGAATGGGAAGCTGCTCTGACTCAAGAATGTCAGTGTACATTTATTTTGGATGGGTAGGCCGGCACATATTTCCTCCCCTCTGAATGACCTGGTTTTACTTTTTGCTCAAGTTTTGCACAAACTTCTGGGAAAGCCTGAAGGAGCTGCCTGACTTTGTAACAGTATGAAAAAAAATACATGAAAAATTTCTTCAGTGCCCAAGAATTTCCTCAAGTCAAAATACCCATAAAAAAAAAAACCAACAAAACAAGGACCAGGCTAAACAAGAATAAATGGACATAACCAAGGCAGCTGCCTGCTTCCAAATGCCAGCAGGTACTGCCTTACCACACAGCTCAAGGAAAGGATGCACAATAAAGCACAAGACAACATCACCATTCTACATGGAAAGTCTGCTAAGGAATAAATCACCTCTAGAGAACAATGTGCTGAGTGTGAACTTTCCTACCTGTGCATATTCCTTCTCGATCGCAGCTCTCTTCTGACTGAACGCTCTGAAAAAGACAAAAGGGAAAAAGAATATGAATACAAACAGCAACAGTGCTATAAATTCAACCACTGACTCCAAAGGGTTTGCTGCTAGACGGGCTTTATAGAGAGAGGAGCAACCAAAAAAAGCAAAATTGTTTGACAACTGTGCATCAGTAGCCTAGCAACTCGTGCACGTGTGTGCACACATATGCAGCGCTCCCATCTCCCGGCTTTATTGGATAAATGCAGTTCCCAGGACGACTGGTGTAAATAGCATTTACTTCATTAAAGACTCATCAGCCGCTGCTGCTACAGCCTAGGGAGGAATTTGGTAGCAGAGAACAGAACTTGGCTTTGTGCATCCAGACCTTCCTTTAAAAATCAGTCCGTGGTGTTTCTCCACCAGCAGCTGAATGCGCCAGGCCCACAGACATGGCCACACATCCCACAGCCTCCTGCAGTCCTCACTGTTCCACAGCAATGCCCTCATTTACCCACTGCACATGGTCTTAAAGGGTCCCTCAAATGGTTCACAGAATCACAGCATGGCTTGGCTTGGAAGGGACCTCAAAGATCATGAAGCTCCAACCTGCCACCACAGGCAGGGCCACCAACCTCCACATTTCAGAGCAGCCCAGGCTGCCCAGGGCCCCATCCAACCTGGCCTTGAACACCTCCAGGGAGCTTCTGTGATTCCAAACTACCCCCCTTATTGCTGAAGTGCCACATCTCCATCAGGGAGGACAACAGCCGGTTGTACCAAGCTTAAAGCTATGCCATCAGCACAAGAAAATCTCCTATTTGAATCGGTCACGCAAGAACAATGGTGGCACATTAAGAAAAACAGTGCTCAGGAACATCCCACAATAAGGTTAACACAAAAAGGGCTGTGAACGGATTTTCCTGTTCCCAAATCCAACATCCATGCAGCCCTGTGAGCACAGCTGAACGCACAATGCCCCATAAAACAAACTTCCTTGTCTTCCCAAGCACTGAGCTTCAGCCACAGCCGCTATGAACTGAAAGGCACTACCCATGCTGACCCTGAAATGCAGCCCTGGGAAGACGGTACACCAAAGGCTGTTATTTTCTAATTCTCAGCTAATCTTATTTGGAAACATATAATCAGAGCTCAATGCTGAGGATGCTGGGTTTACACCAAATGTGGGCTCAGAGCTGTGCGTTCCATCACCAGGTTTGTCTCTGTACAAGAATTCCCCTTCAGCTAATTGCATGACAATGATGGCGACAAGCTGGACGCGTCAGATATCCCCTAAAACCTCCTATATCAAAGGGCTTACAGGGAGAAGAAAAACAAAAGCATCCAACGGCCCCTGGCATAGAGTTACTAAATACCATGCAAATCAAATTTACCCATAAAACCAACAGAAAGTGACAAGGCCGCAGCTCCAGCATAAGGACAGGCAGCTCCGCTAACAACAGGGTGAGATTTAGCTCTGTATTTCCAACAAGACAGCACGTGATTCAATTTATACCACACTTAAATTGGTGTTTAATGTGTTAGGGTGCACAACTGCACCATAAGCACCATCTGCATCCTGGGAGCGGCTGCTTTCCGCTGCTCTGTGGCTGCATATCCCTCCATTAGCCAAACACAAAGCTGGAAGGAACCTCGGGGTTCTACAGGAATCCTTTAATGATAACCAGAAAGATACAGACTACTAAGATGATCAGAGGGCTGGAGCAGCTCTCCTATGAGGAAAGGTTGAGGGAACTGGGCTTGTTCAGCTTGGAGAAGAGAAGGCTGTGGGGAGACCTCACTGTGGCCTTCCAGTGCTTGAAGGGAGTGGATAAATAGGAGGGGGAATGGCTGTTTGTGAGGGTGGATGGTGATAGGACAAGGGGGAATGGCTTTAAAGTGAGACAGGGGAGGTTTAGGTTGGATATGAGGAGGAAGTTTTTCAGCCAGAGGGTGGTGAGGCAGTGGAACAGGTTGCCCAAGGAGGCTGTGGATGCCCCATCCCTGCAGGTATTCAAGGCCAGGCTGGATGTGGCTCTGGGCAGCCTGGGCTGCTGGTTGGTGACCCTGCACACAGCAGGGGGTTGGAACTGGATGAGCACTGTGCTCCTTTGCAACCCAGGCCATTCTGTCATTCTATGAAACTTCATTAACCCACAGCAGCCCAACCTGATGTGCTGCCTGGCAGCCAAGCTCTGCTCACCTGGTGCTGACAGTCAGTGTTGATGCATTTCTTTGTTGATGGCCGTTTTACTGAGAAAAAATAAAAAGCTCTCCAAATTTAAACACCGAGGCAAAGCCCCTGAAAACGTGCATGTTATCTGAAAACTGCAGGGATGAGAAAGGCACCTGTCCTGACCCACCTTGACCTGAGAGTCCCCAGCTGCTACCCTACCAAAGGAAAGAGGAGAAAACAGCTCCGCAGGGCCCACATCAGCACAGCGCACAGCAAAGGCACTGACACTTTCAATGCCATTAATCTGAGAGACAAAGGAAGGAGGTGGGTCTGTGGGGAATTACACACACACACGGCGATGGTAACACTTCAAAATGGTCTTTCAGTTCTGCAATGCAGGCTGCTGTGTCCCTGTCAGAAGGGAACGACAAAGACAGCACTGCTGTGTCTCTCCCTGCTGCAGATCTCAGTGTCACAGGAAGCAAAGCCCACGCTGAGAGACGCAGAGCAATGGAACAAACCTGCACAGCCCTGGGACAGTAAGAAACAGAACAAGAAGTGAGGGAAGAAATGATTTGATGTTGTTTTGCTGTTGGGTTTTTTTCTGGGGGGGGTTGGGAGGAGAGCAGTTTCAAATGCAGCTTAAACAAAAAAGACAAATAGATCAGTTCATCCCATTAGGCGTTCTGAACGTGAAATTACTCATAAACTGCAGAGTACATTGCAAGTGGTCTTAAACTAAATCAATCATATAACATTCCAGGCTCCCTTTAGGTCCTGGAAGGCTGCAACGATTCACCCTGCAGCTTCTCTTCTCCATGCTGAACAAGCCCAGCTCCCTCAGCCTGTCTTTGTAGGGGAGGTGCTGCAGCCCCCTGATCATCTTTGTGGCTCCTCTGGACCCTCTCCAACAGCTCCCTGTCCTTTTTGTACTGGGGGCTCCACATCTCAACTCAGTTCTGCAGATGGGGCCTCACAAGAGCAGAGTAGAAGGGAAAAATCCCTTCCCTGTCCCTGCTGGCCACAAGAGAATTGCTGGTTTTTCTTTTCTCATTTTGGAGAAGATGACCCAAGAGCACTGCCAGCCCATCTCAAACCCACCCAGTGAGCCTCAGCAGCCCCTTAGCAAAAAAAAGTGTGCCTTTGAGAAAAAGCTGCACATGATGAGTACAGTGCCTGATACCAACTCCATGCTTCCCTTAATTGGCAAGCAGATCCTTAATCCTTTTTACAGTGGTAAGATGTGTTTGGTGATGAGTTCCACTTATTGTAAGCAATGGAAACGGATCCCAATACACCAGTGACAGCAAGGGAACCCCAGTGTTGAGCTACACACACCTGAAGATAACACTGAACAATTGACAGTTTAAGAGCTGTCCCAGGTTAGAGGCACAGCCACGTGTCCCACTCCATGTGGCTACATTTCACAATCCTAGAATGACCTGGGTTGCAAAGGAGCACAATGCTCATCCAGTCCCAACCCCCTGCTGTGTGCAGGTCGCCAACCAGCAGACCAGGCTGCCCAGAGCCACATCCAGCCTGGCCTTGAATGCCTGCAGGGATGGGGCATCCACAGCCTCCTTGGGCAACCTGTTCCAGTGCCTCACCACCCTCTGGCTCAAAAACTTCCTCCTCATATCCAACCTAAACCTCCCCTGTCTCACTTTAAAGCCATTCCCCCTTGTCCTCTCACCATCCACCCTCACAAACAGCTGTTCCACCTCCTGTTTATCCGCTCCCTTCAAGCACTGGAAGGCCACAATGAGGTCTCCCCGCAGCCTTCTCTTCTCCATGCTGAACAATCCCAGTTCCCTCAACCTTTACTAACAAGAGAGGTCCTCCAGCCCTCTGATCATCACTTCTGCATGGAGATACATTTCTCCTCATTTCCCAGACGATGTTCACCAACATTCATATCAGAACACTTCCTTCCCAATGACACATTAAGCACAGAAGTCCAGGTACAGACCTCACCAGTACAGAGGGTAAGAGCTGAGCAGGGCAGCCTTTTCCCTAGAAGCCATCAGCAGCCTGTCTCCCTGTTGCTTCTGAAAATGCTTTGCCACCACCATCTTTGTTGCACCCTTTTCCAACTCTTCCGTCCCTGAGGGGCTGTAAATTCAGCTGATGCTGTCCTTCAGCAGCCAAAGTTTTCATTCTTCTCCTTTGCTGCCTGTTGCTTTCCCTCCTTGCATGCTCTCCCTCAGCTCCCTGCTTAGGCTGGGTGGGATTCCTGCTGCTTTTCCTGCCTGTCTCACACAGTGGGAGCTTGTTCCTTGGCTCTCTAGAAGTCTTAAAAAATAAAAATAAAAATAAAAACCACCACCACCCAAAATAAAATCATCTATGCAGGTTCTTTCCCCTCCTGGCTGCCTCCAAGGAGATCCTGCACACCATCACAGTGAGAACTAGAACCACCTTGTTCCAACAGCCCATCTCCAGGTCCCCCAGCAGTTCCAGGAGCAAGTTAGGAACACCAGGCTTCCTTCCATGGCAGGCATGGACACTCTGCACTAACACCACAGGTATCTTGATGGAGCATCCACGAGGCCTCCAGGTACCTCCATTAGCAAGAGCACTTTTGTGGCTGGGTGGGCCATGTTCCCATCAGCTGTGAAAGCACAGGGCCAGAAGAAAACTCTGAAGCACCCCCCAAGGTCACCCGCAGCCCAAAGTCCTGCCCATAGCAGAGCTCTGTGACTCACTGCAAAAAGCCAGCAACATTTCCTGCTCGTGGGTCCTCCTGCTCTCAGGGGATGTGTCCAAGCCACCTCACAGCTCTTTAAGTGTCAAATACTTACAACATAAAGAACGGCTGCTTGCTGAGTCAAGAAACGGAGCTGTTCTCACTGCTACTTCCTTGTGTT